TGGTGCCTCTCCCTCCAGGCCCCTCCTGGCTCTCCGCCAGGGCCGGCACAGCCACCGTGCAGACACAGAGGCTCTGCTCTTGCTCGGGCCACTCAGCCAGGTGTTCCCTAAAGGACCTGCTTTGACCTGTGGGAGTGCTATGGTCGCAATGTGTGTGTCCTTCCCAAATCCTTACATTGAAACTGTGGCCAGGCATCAGGAGGCGGGGCCTGGGGAGGTGCCCAGGTCCTGAGGGCTCCACCCTTGAGATGGGTGAGTGCCCTGTCCGAGCGGCCACGGAGCTTGTCTGCCCTTCAGCCATGGAGGACACAGCGAGAAGATGCCGTGTACAGTGACACAGCCCCCACTGACACCGAGTCTGCCCAGTGGCCGAGAAAGGCTCAGGCTTGGACTTCAGCCCCTAGGGCTGTGAGAAGGGAGAGTGCTGTTCCTCAGCCCGTGGGAGCCCGCCACAGCAGCCTGAGTGCCAGGTGGGCACCGGCGCGGCCTTCGGCCCCGAGTCCTCTCCTGCGGGCCCCTCGGGTCTTGCGGAGGGACGGGCCGCAGGGCTGGTGCACGGGGCTCCGAGTGGAGGCTGGTGTGGTCCCTGCCTGCCCGGCTGGCGCTGCAGCGGGAGATGCATGGAAGTGAGGACGCCAGTGGGACGAGGGCCGTGTCCAGGCAGGCAGAGGCTGTGAGGGGCACTCAGGGGAGCAGATATCCCACTACCGGGTCGGGGCGGCACTTCCTGGAGGAATGACATTTAATAGGGGGCCTGGGAGACAGACAAGTGTGGATTGAGCTGGGAGCACTCCTGGCAAAAGAGAAAATGTACAAAGGCCTGAGATGCAGAAGAATGAGGACATTTTGATCAAAAGTTTGAGAATTCGTGGAACGTGGCACTTCGAGGAGGGGCAGGTGGGGAGGCAGAGATCTGGCTGTGTGGGCCTTGCAGACCCTGCCGGGACCTGCACTCTGTTCTGGGGCTGGAGAGCCACTGGAGGTAGGGGAGGGACTGACCACATTTGCAGTGGCTGAGTGGGGACAAGATGGGGCAGGGGGTCCCGGCAGGAAGCTGTGGCAGCAGCCCAGGCTGGGGTTGACTCGGTGGCACCAGTGGGAATGGAGCAGGCCAGGAGAGAGAGGTTGGGGCACCGTGACCAGGACTGAGCCCGCACCAGCAGAAGCAGGTGCTTGACGGGTGTGTGGTCTGAGGGAGGGGATAGCAGTGGCCGTTACGGAGACGGTAAGCACAGGTGAGAAGTGGGGCTTGGACGGTTTGAGGGAGATGCCTCTGCTCGGGATCCACCAAGCGCGAGCCTGTGGAGCCCCCGGGACTGAAGACCTGCGTCAGAAGCACTGGACGGCACGGGCAGAGGCGTGGAGTTTGGGGCCATCAGCACTGGGTGGTGACAGAGCCGTGGAGGAGATGGGTCTGCTGGGACAGGAGAGGGCGTGAGACTAACACAGAGGCCCCAGCAAGGGGACAGGCGGGAGGCTGTGACCCAAAGGAGTGTGGGGACATGGTCGCAGGGGGAGGTGAGGGGAGGCTCGTGCTCACCGGGAAGGCAGGGGGTGCGGGTCAGCGAGGCTGAGACCGAGGAGTGTCCCAAAAGCTGGTAAACAAATTTATCTCTAAGGAGTATGTCAGTTATATTTTCTAGTAACAGGCTCACTGTGGTTTTCATCAGACACCTTTCTCCAGACACCTTAACAATCCAGGTTCCTGTAACTTTAAAACAATGGTTTTTAGTGTTAACCTGACAAAAGCAAAAAAAATTCATTGAAGAATGTCTAAAACATCAAGAAATAGGAAAAATTACATATCTGTAGGTTGAAGAAAAACACATTGTGTCTAGTCTTTGAAAATGCACTAGCATACTATCAAAAGTAAGCGTATCCTACGTGTCCTGATACGTGAACACCTGCAGACCAAAGTGAAGCGGTCTGGGGGTGCTCTGCGGGCCTGGGAGGAAGCAGCGGGCGGGGCGGGGATGGGGACGGGACAGGGATGGGACGGGGACAGGGACGAGATGGGGACAGGATGGGGACGGCTCCTGCACTGCAGCTGCAGGCAGCGGCCAGTGGAGATGCGGTCTGGGGAGTTGTGGGGTTGGGGTGCGTGGGAGGATGGGGGTGTCAAAAGAGATCCACCACTACTGTTTGCACAGTGTAACTGACACATGACAAACTGCAAGACGTGTAAAATTTGATGTTCTGATATGTGTACACACCCATGAAACCACGACCACCACAATCACGCTAATGAACATCTTATCACTCTCAAGAGATGCCTCACCCTTTATGATCCCACCCTCCTCCTCCTCCAATCGCCAGACAATCATTGATTATCTATCACTGGAGATCAGTTTGCATTTTCTAGAATTTTATATAAATGAACAATACAGTATATACTCTTTTTGGACTGGCTTTTTTCACTCGGCATTATTATTTTAAAATTAATCGATGCTGTTGCACATAGCAACATGCTTTTCATCGTATGGATATTCTGCAATTTATTCGTTCTTCTGGTGATGGACTTATGGTTGTTTTCAATTTGGGGCAATTACAAATAAAAGTGCTATGAAAGTTGTATGTGAATACAAGTCTTTGTGTGGACATATGCTTTCTTTTCTCTTGGGTAAATACCAAAGACTGGAATGGCTGGATCACATGGTAGCTGTAGTTTTAACTTTTTAAGAATCTGTTAAACTGTTTTCGAAAATGGTTGTGCCATTCTACATTCCCACAGTGTGAGAGTGCCAGTCACTGCATATCCTTGTCAACACTCTGCATTGTCATGTTTAATACAAGTGTACCCACATTAGTAGCTATGTAGTGATAGCTCGCCGTGGCTTTAATTTCCTTTTCCACAGTGATTACAGCTGTTGAGCATCTTCTCCTGTGCTTATTCGCACCTGTTTGTCTTCTTGGATGAAGTGTCTATTTGAATCTTTTTGCCTACTGTGTTTGGTTCTTTCTTTGCTTATTATGAAGTTTTGAGTGTTCCTTATGAATTCTGAATATAAGCCTTTTATCAGATACATGCTTTGTCAATATGTAGTTGTAGTGCTGACTTCAATAAACTCCAATTTATCAACGTGTCTTTTTATAGATTGTGCTTTTGGTTTCAAATCTAAGAATTTTTGCCAGAGCCACGGTCACAAAGATTTTCTCTTTTTCTATTTTTTTCCTCTAGAAATTTTACAGTTTTAGGTTTTAAATTTAGGTTTATGATTAATTTTGGGTTATATGGTATGATATATGGATCAAAGTTAATTATGATGCATATGGATATCCAACAGTTGCGGTGCCACTTATTGAAAAAACTGACTCTTCTCCACTGAATTGCCTCTGTTCTTTTGTCAAAAGTCAGTTACCTGTATATGTCAGTCTATTTCGGGACTCTCTAACCTCTTCCACTGGTATATTTATCTAGTGTGATGTCAATACTACATTGTCTTAATTACCATAGTGTTATTATAAGTATTGAAATCAGGAAGAAATAATTCACCAACTCAGTTCTTCTTTTTCAAGGTAGTTTTGGCTATAGTAGGCCCCTCGCATTGTTATATGAATTTTAGAAACAACTTGTCGATTTCTACAAAAAGCCAACTGGTATATTGATTGGGATTACACTGAGTTCAAAGTTCAATTTGGGGATAATACACATCTTAACAATATCAAGTTTTCAAAACAAGTTCTATATATATATATATATATATACACACACACACACATATATATATATGCACACACACATTTATTTAGGTCTTTTAAGAAATTATCTCAGCAATGCTTTATGGTCTTGCATATCTTTGGTCAAATTTATCCTTAAGTAATTCATATTTTGATACTCTTGAAAATTATATTGAAAATTAATTTCTGATTGTTTACTACTAGTAATTAAAAATACAACTATATTTGTAATGCTACTATATCCTACAACCTTGCCAAAATCACTTATTAAATTTGGAATCTGTTTTGTAGATTGCAATGGGTTTTTCCCATGGACAAAATCATATGGTCTGTGAATAGTTTTATTTATTTTGTTCTTTTATTCAATCTGGATGCCTGCCTATCTTCCTTCCCTCCTTCCTTTCCTTCCCTTTCTCTTTTCACCTTTTCTTTCCTTCCTTCCTTTCCTTTCCTCTTTCCTTATTCCCTTCTCTTCCTTTCCTTCTTCCCCCTTTCCTTTCTCCCCTTACTTCCTCCCTCCCTCCTTCCTTCCTCTTCCTTCCTTCTTTTCCCTTTCTCCCTCCCTCCCTTCCTTCCTTTTTTTTTTTTTTTTTTTCTTCCTTCCTTCCTTCCTTCCTTCCTTTTTTTTTGCCTGGTTGCAATGGCTAGAACTTCCTGTACAGTGTTGAATAGAAGCAGTGAGAACAGATACTCTTGCTTCATTTTTGATCTGGGGGGAAAAGCATTCACTTTTCCATACTAGTGATGATATTAGCTATCTGTTTTTCATTGATGCTCTGTATCAATCTGAAGAATTTTCTTTCTTTTCCTACTTTACAGAGATTTTTTTTATTAGAAATGGATATAGAATATTGTCAAATGTCTTTAATATGTCTATTAAGACAACCATATGTTTTCTCTTTCTTAGTTTGTTAATATGGGGAATTAATTACTTTAAACATTAACCCAACGTGCATTGTTGGGATAAACTCCTCTTGGTCATGATGTATTATATACTATTAGATTCAATTCACTAAATTTCTATTTTCATATCTATGTGCATAAAGAATATCAGTTTATAGTTTTCTTTCTAGTAATGTCTTTGGCTTTGTTATCAGGGTCACAATGGCCTCAGAGAATGAGTTGGGAAGTCCTCTCCCCTCTTCAATTCTCTGGGTGAGTTTATGCCGTTGTCTGGTAACTGTCACACATTTGGTAGAACTCATCATCAGTGACGCCAGCAGGTCTGGTCAAAGGACAAGCTGCTGGGTTAATTGGTTTTTCCCTTTTTATTTCATTGATTTCTGCTCTCACATTTATTATTTTCTTCTGTTTACTGCACATTTTATTTTTGCTCTTCTTTTTTTAGTTTTTAAGGTAGAAGTGAGAAAATTCATTTGAGACCTTTCTTCTTTTCTATGTGGTTCTACAAAGTCTTCCCCTAGGAATTGATTTGGTGGTATCAAACACATTTTATGTTGTATTAAAATATATATTCAGTTCAAAAAATTTTCTAATTTCCCTCTGATTTTTTTCTTTGACCCATGAGTTATTTTGAACTGTGTCATTTCACTTTCCAATATTTGGGGATTTTTCCAGAGATCGTTTTGTTACTGATTCTAATTTGATCTCATTGTGGTCATAGAATATACTTTGTATTATTTGGATCCCTTAAATATTATTATATTAACTGTTCTGATGTCCTCAGCTGCCAATTTTAACATCTCTGTCCATTGTGGGGCAGTTTTGATTGATCTAGCTTTAACCTATAATGCCGTCCCTCTTTGCTTCCTGATAATTTGATTGGATGTCAGATACTGTCAATTTTACTTTGTTGTGTGCTGGATATTTCTGTATTCCTGTGAATATTCTCGAGCTTTGTCCTGGAATACAGTTATGTGGAAGCACTCTGATCCTTTCAGGTACTGCTTTTAAGATGTGTTGGGCAGCATGAGAGCCTTATGTTAACCTGTTTACAGGTTAACCTGTTAACCTGTTTTAAGTCTACCTGTTGCCCACTGCTAAGGCAAGAGCTGTCTGAGCGCTCTACCCAGTGCCCAGAAGGTAGGATGTCTTCCAGTCTGGCTGGATGTCTTCCAGGCACTGCTCTTGGCCCGAGTGAGACCTAGCTGCTGCTCCACCTAACCCTACTGGGTGGTTCCGTCCCCAGCCTGCCTGCCACGTGCTGGTCAGGACTCCACTGAATACTCCAGGGGACTCTCCAGAATCCTGTCCCTGAGCTCCAACGTCTGCTCTGCAGACTTCAGCTGTGTTGGTCCCCCAGACTCTCCGCTCTGTTCCTCAGCCCAGGAGGGCTGCTGGGCTCTGGGTTCCCTCTGCCTGCACCGCAGCCAGCAATGCTCCCGGCTCACCCTATTTTACTCTCTAAGGGATCGCTGCTTCTGGTTACCTGATATCTAGTAACTTAAAAACCATCGTTTCTTATGTTTTGTCTGAATTTTTGGTTGTTGCAGGTGGAAGGGCAAGTCCAGACCCCTAAACTCTATTTTGGCCAGAAGCAGAAGTTCCCAGGGATTCTTTTTAAGCAAGTGAAAACTGAACATATTTATGAAGCTTTGTTTTATTCCTTCTTTTCCTTTTGCACCATCACAGCATGGACTGGTGCACATTCACTGCTCTGGGCCAACAGAGTGTGTCCTAACTCTGGCTCTCCCCAGACTCTCCCTTCTCCTACCATCCCCTGCGGCTGTGCCAGATAGTGCAGGCAGCCACAGATCACCCCAACACACGTGTGTGTGTGCATGTATGTGTATGTACATACACCCTACATCCTGAGGATTGGAAATTCTATATAACTTTTTCTGTTTCAGTTTTATTTTCCCCTAATACTTGTCCAAGAGCAAACTCAAGCTCATTGGGGGCGAGGCTTATTAAAATGGGTTCTGAACTCATCAAATGGTATCCCTGGGATATGTCAATTTGACTGTATATAAATTTACCTCAAAAACAACTATAAAAATATTAAGCTCTAGTAATATGCACACTAAGTCGTTTAGGAGTGAAGTGTGCAATGTCTGCGATGCACTTCAAATGTGTAAGTGTAAGACCCCAAACTAGCCTAACCAGCTCTCCGCTTCTGTAACCACGCTTGCTTTTAGAAAACCAAGACCCCACACCCCTTCCGCCCTTCCAGTAAGTAGCTGTTGCAAGTTCCCGGAACTGAGTGCAACCAGTTGTGCAAGACAAGACCAGTGGAATTTCCCCACCCTAAACTCCCTAACCACCGGCGTGCGGTTTTAGCCTATAAAAAACCCCTAAGCTTGAGAGTCGGGGCGGCAGCTCCCCTAGCTCGGTGATGCTGCTAGCCCCTGCGCTGCGCTAGAAATAAATCCTCTTGCTCTCTTACATCAAGCCTCTAGACTCTGAGTCTTTTTGGGCGGTCGTCTCTCTCCCAAACGGGCTGTACATTTCTACGGCCCAACATAAGTAATAAAGCTGCGTGGCGGTGGGCAGAAGGGTGGGCGGCCGGCCGGACGCGAGGTCGAGCCCATGGAGCAGATGCTGTTACACGCTCTCGGTGCTTACCCTTTTCCATATCAACTTTTCCGTATCTTTGAAGTTTTTCATAACAAAATGATGGGGGAAACGTCCTTCATAAAACAATCATGACAAAATGGGTTTTGTTGTTAAACTGAATTCATCCAAGTAAGAGCGAGAGATGGCTGTGAGGCCAGCTGGGCTTCCTAGCAAGCCCTTCCACTGGCTCTGGATTGCTGATGAAAGGAACCACAAATCTCCCTGGATTTCAAAGAAGAACGTGCAGAACAGCTAAGAGCACACGCTTTGGCATATGGATCTGCCTCTTTGCTGGGTGGATCGTGGAGAGCTGCTTCCCCCTTCCCCCTACTTACTTCTCTGTGAAATGGGCACAACAGTGTCCACACTGCTGTTTCCAAGGGGGCAGCTAAGGACACCTGTGTGCAGGCTCAGCAGGGAGGGGGTGGCTTACAGTGAACCTCCTCACATCCCATGTGCTTTCACTGGGCTCAGCCAGTGGCTGGGCTTAATGAATGTTTGGGGCTGTGACAAAGGCTTGGGGACAAAGGTTTGGGCTATGATGAAGGTGTGGGGGCGGGGCAGTCGACTGCTCAGTCATCTCTGGCTCACGGAGGCTGCTATGCACGGCTGGGGCACACCTCCCAGGGCACTTAGGGTACGTGGGAGTGTGGGTTGGTGGGGAGGTTACAGGCTAGATGGCGAACAAGGGAGGGGCCAAGCAATCTCTGCCCTCACGGCAGTGACCCTGCTGAGGACTAGCCCAGAAACTGGGGATTTGTGTCACCCATGAGGGGGTCACAAATGGGGGTCATTTGTGACCCCCATGCTGAATATCGGGTCAGTGCCTGTGCTGAACACCCGAGAGGTGTGCGCACCACCACTAACACCAACAGGACAGCTGAATCCAGGTTTCAAAAGGTCCCAGCAAATAAAGAAAGAGGGGAAAGGAACACTCTAGAAATTGGGTATAAAAAGGAAATTGCAAAAGGATAGCATTGAAAAGATCTGGTCAGGCAATGACTCAACAAAAGGAGCTTGGTGATGCTGCCACTGCAGCACAGACCGATCCTGACGACCAGTGATGGCAGGCCCCGCTGACACCACGCTGGGAATGCAGACACCCAGAATGAGGAAAGGGACAGTCTGCTGCAAGTGCCTGCCTCCGTGACCAGGGACCAGGACAGCCGTGACCCAACAGGTTTTACAAGAAGGAGGGAGGATGGGCACCTGCCCATGGAGGACGCGCTGCAGGACGCTGCTCGGAGGTGCAGCACTCGGAGGCTCCCTGGCATCCCAAAGGTTCGAGGCTGCCTAAAAGATCCTCTTTTTATTTTGGTTGGACAAAAAGAAAAAGCAAAGAAGCAACAAGTCTTGTGGTTTAAAGCCAACACAGAAAGCCGTAAAAATGTTCAAGTTTTATTTTGCTTCCTTGCCTGCCAAGAAAAATAATCTTTATATGGATAAAGGTAAAATGTGCAGTGATGATAGGGAAATGGTGTTTGGGAGAAGTAAAGAAATTGTGTGAAAGCATCAGGATTCTCTATTTAAGTTCCTGTCTTCCAGCCTGGACGGACTCGATCGCAGGTGTGGACGAACTCACAGGGGCCGGTTCTGCAGAACGGGCCCGGGCTGTGGGAAGCCTGGAGAGGTACAGAATCCATCTTATTTTCCAAAAGGAAAAGAGGGTGGGTTTTTCCCACTTGAAGTGGATTCTTGGCAAGATTTTATAATGATTGTGAAGTAGAAGCGGTATGTGCACGTGGACACGGGGCACCGTGGTGTGCTAGGAGGGCTGGGAAACGCGGCTCGCAAAGCAGGGGTTGCAGGCGCCCTCACTCCCTCTCCCCCATCTCTCTTCTTCCAATAAACAGTCGCTGAGTGCTCCCTCTGTGCCAGGAACTATGTAAGGTGCCGGTGACGTGACAGGCAAGACTCACAACCTCGAGGTGGGGAGGGGAAGCAGGCACTGAGCAAGACTGCCCCGACCGCTGGAGAAATCACAGCTGCGGTTTGCACGACGAAGGGAAGATTATGTGATGCTGCAAAAGGGGCCTGGTCCAGTCTGGGGGCTGCAGGAGGCTTTCTGAGGACATGAGGCTGATCCATGAACACAAAGGACAGTGGGAATGAGCAGGTCAAATGTGGGCAGAGCATCTGTGAAGGCCCTGGAGTGGCCACAGCAGCAGGTAGCCTCTCATACCAGGCTTCCCTGTCCCAACTGCAGAAAAGACAGGCAGCTTGGGAGAGCTGTAGGGGGCAGACAGTCACATGCGGAGAGTGCGGAAAGGCAGACGGACCCTGTGCCTTGAGACTATGCCAGTTTACTCAGAGCACACCAAAGGCCTGCCCCTGAGCAACTGGAACCCGGCTGACGCCACGGGACCTGTGACTCATCTTCACGTCCTCTAGTCCACAGGTGGGACTAGGAGGAAGGAGCTCTGTTGTGTCGCTTCTTTTCCTGGCTCGGGGCATCCGGATACTACCACGTGTCTAACCTTTCCCACTGCCAAGTGCCACGATGCCTGCTGTCGGCGCAGTTAACACCTGGAAGGGCCCAGCTGAGGCTGGAACTCGGCTTGATGGTGTGGCTGGGGGCAGTGGCAGTGCCTGGCAAGGGTGGGACAAGGCACGCACAACGTCTGTGTCCCACTTGCCCTCCGAGTGGGAGCTCGGCCTTTCCTCCCAGGATGCTGCTGGAGCAGACGCCTGCGCCCGTGCCCTCCTGGGACAGAGCGAGCTCACAGAGAGAGGGAGGAGGTCTCGGGGATTACCACGGCCCTAACTTCTCCCGGAAAATTCCTGAGGCCAATGGCAAACTCTGTCCTCTCCCTCTGTCTCTGGCCGAGAGGCCTGAGGGCACAGAGAGGGCTCCGTTCTTCCTTCTGTCGTGAGCAGCTCCTGCAACACCTGGTCCGGGCAGGTTCCCTGGAAGTGCCTGGAGACGGGAGCGTCTTCCATGCAGACACGGAGGGAGGAAAGGGTGCTCGGTCGGAGCACAGTCCAGGCCCTCTCAAATGATGCATTTAAAACAGACCAAGAACGGCCGTCGGTGCACAGTTCTACCTTTAGTGTGACTGCAGGACCAAGAGGAAGAAAGACTCGAGAAGGTGAGAATCTGAACACTGCCTTCAGAGAGAGGGGTATTCACCCAAGGAGTGGCAGCCACACAGCAGAGCTGCAAATGCTCTCCTTCAGAGCTGGAGGGGAAACACAGAAAGCTAGAAGTTTCTCTGACAGCCACAAACACATAGGCAGAGATGCTATTTGATTTACACTGTGAAGGCAAATGTAATCTGAATTGCCTTGAAAAAGGGCAAAGTTACTGTTAAGGTAATTATTCCTTCTACATCAAATGCACCCTCTGTATGTCATCACAGGCAGCATCCCGCGAGTGTGAAATGTGTGTGTTGAAGCCCCTGTTTGCCTGCGACTGTCCTGCTTTTCAGCACTGGAAGTCCTACACCCTGGAAACCGCCCCAGAATAGCTGGGCGCCTGGGTGAGAGCAGGCGGCCTCGCGGCTCAGGGGAGGCGCTCTGACTCCCAGCCGCCGCCCCACGGCGACGCGCCCCGCTGCGTCTGCTCCGCGGCCCTTGCTGCCCAGCCGAGAGGCCAGAAACGCCTCACTGACTGAGCGTCTGCAAAGAATCCACCCACACTGTACGGATCCGGGAGCCCTGCATTTACTGCGTTTTCCTCGAGGTTAGCATAGCTTTTTTTTTTCAGAGTCTCACTCTGTTGCCCAGAGTGCCGTATAAATGCCGTGGCGTCAGCCTCGCTCACAGCAACCTCAATCTCCTGGGCTCAAGCAATCCTCCTGCCTTGGCCTCCCGAATAGCTGGGACTACGGGCACACGCCACCATGCCCGGCTAATTTTTTTCTATATATTTTTAGTTGGCCAATTAATTTCTTTCTATTTTTAGTAGAGATGGGGTCTCGCTCTTGCTCAGGCTGGTTTAGAACTCCTGACCTTGAGTGATCTGCCTGCCTCGGGTTCCCAGAGTGCTAGGATTACAGGTGTGAGCCATCGCGCCCAGCTTAGCACAGGTTTAAAAGTCCAAAAGGTAAAAGAAAGTTAAATAAATATTAAGAGGCAAAGTTCAAATAATTTGATATTCAAATGCTATAAAAACATACCCATATATGTACCCAGGTTTATAAACATAAACCTCCATGGTCCATACACAGCAGGAAAGTGCCATCTAACTGGGCTGGTTAGAAAAATTATAATTTATTGCCTGAATTGCAAAGGTGTCCACTGATGCCACAGGTCCGCTGCTCAACCCAAATGGACAGACCAGGAAAGCCACTAGGAAATGATATTGGGTCAACACCTCCAAGAGAACAAACCGTGGGTTCTAGGTGAGGTCGCACTGGCCCAGCTGCACCTGTGCATCCCTGAGAGAGGCTGGACAGAGGCTGTGGGGTGGCTGGGCTACTCAACTCCTGGCCTCCTCGGTCACACTTCTTTAGCAGATTTTACGCGATCTCCACAAAGCATGAAGAGGAGATGCCCGGGGCCATCAGGGCGCAGTAGCAGTGAGAGCTACGGGGAGCGGCCTCCCGTGCCGGGCTCACTCTCATGGCTCAGGGCCCAGGTTTTGGCCGAGGATTATCTTGTAAACGGTTGGGGGCATCAAGCTCTCAGAAATTCCATATAAATGTCTGTTGCCTAGAACTTTCCAGGGTGGATAAGGCAGGTCACAACACATACATTAATCCAGAAAACAATCAAAACTGGGGCTGTTGAATGTCATCTGAAGTGGCCGGTGGAAAGCGGAGACTGTGTCAGAAACAGCCCGGGCTCCCGCCGGCCAGCTCTGGGTGGCCGTGGCGACCTTTCCTCCAGGCACGTGCAGGTCTCCGCTGCCCTGCCCCTCTCTCCACCTTCTTCCCCGCAGCGCGGCCTCCTCTCTTCTCAGACTACCCTAAACTGTTTATTTTGCTCAGGGAGGCGGAGGACAGCATTCCTGGGGGAAGACAGCCTCAGCTTGAAACGAGCAGCCACCGCTGGCAGCCGCGCGGCCCTGAGCGGGCCCTGGCCTCTCTGGGCCCGAGTCCCCGCCAGCCCCGAGAGGTGAAGGGAGGAGAAGGGAAAGACCCGCAACCAGTCAGGAGATGACAGGCAGAAAGCAACGGGCACGGTGTGGTCACGGCCTTCACGTGGCTCCGTTCCACGTCCGAAACGCGGCAGCAGTGCCAGTGAGAGAGACCCTACTTACACCTTCACGGAAGCCAGTGAACGTTTGAAAATTGCAGGTTTGCAGGCTCAGATCCCTGGAAAATCCGCCTCAGGACGCAGACGTCCGGAGAGACTGTTTTAGGGGCTCGGAGACGTGAGCCCGGGCCCGCGGGCTGTGGCAGCGTGCCCGCGGGCTGCTTCCGCCTCTCCAGAAGGGCTGGCGCCCTGGAAGTCCCTTGCTGCCCCCGGCACTGTGCTCACACGGCCCCTGCGCTTAGCCACTCGCCCCAACTTCCTCCTTCCCCTCATCTACCCAAGGACATACATTCATCAACACTGAAATTCCACAGCAGTAAAAAAGCGTAAAGAAAGCCCAAAAACCCTCAATGAATTTTAACTGCCTGCGACCCGCCCCCACACAGCCCCCTCCCCTTGGTTAAGGGCGGACACTTGCCCCATCGGGGCAGGGCTGGCACTCGCCGGGCGACGTCCGGGTCCCTGGCCAGGGCCACACAGACATGGCTGTGCACACCGTCGCCCCGCACAGGGTAAGTTCTGGGCCGGACCCGAGAGCTGTCACAGATGGCCGCGGGGGAGCCTGGAAAGCCACTGAGTCAGTGGGCGCTCAGGCCCATCTCACACAGGGTAACAACGTGGGAGCCCTGGGTGCCCCGGGGACCCCCACTGAGGGGCCGACTTTCACAGCCACTCTGCCCGTGGGCACGGGGCCGCCACCCTCCCTCCCACAGGGGCCAGCAGCCCACGTGACGGCGGCCAGCTCCACCTCCGGGTTCCCTCTCTCCACGCAGCACGCGCCCATGTGACGGCGGCCAGCTCCACCTCCCGGTTCCCTCTCTCCATGCAGCACGCGCCCACGTGACGGCGGCCAGCTTCACCTCCCGGTTCCCCTCTCTCCACGGAGCACGCGCCACGTGACGAGGCAGCTCCACCTCCGGTTCCCGCTCTGCACGCAGCACCGCCCACGTGACGGCGGCCAGCTCCACCTCCGGTTCCCTCTCTCCACGCAGCACCTGCCACGACGGGCCAGCTCCACCTCCGGTTCCCTCTCTACGCAGCACGCGCCACGTGACGGGGCCAGCTCCACTCCCGAGTTCCCGCTCTGCACGCAGCACGCGCCACGTGACGAGGCCAGCTCCACCTCCGGGTTCCCTCTCTGCACGCACGCGGCCCACGTGACGAGGCCAGCTCCACCTCCGGGTTCCCTCTCTGCACGCAGCACCGGCCCACGTGACGGCGGCCAGCTCCACCTCCCGGTTCGCCTCTCTCACGCAGCACGCGCCCACGTGACGAGGCCAGCTCCACCTCCGGGTTCCCTCTCCACGCAGCACGCGCCCACGTGACGGCGGGCCAGATCCACCTCCCGGTTCCCTCTCTCCATGCAGCACGCGCCCACGTGACGGCGGCCAGCTTCACCTCCCGGTTCCCTCTCTCCATGCAGCACGCGCCCACGTGACGGCGGCCAGCTTCACCTCCGGGTTCCCGCTCTCCACGCAGCACGAGCCCACGTGAGGGCGGCCAGCTCCACCTCCGGGTTCCCGCTCTCCACGCAGCACGCGCCCACGTGAGGGCGGCCAGCTCCACCTCCGGGTTCCCGCTCTCCACGCAGCACGCGCCCACGTGAGGGCGGCCAGCTCCACCTCCCGGTTCCCGCTCTCCACGCAGCACCTGCCCACGTGACGAGGCCAGCTCCACCTCCCAGTTCCCGCTCTCCACGCAGCACGCGCCCACGTGAGGGCGGCCAGCTCCACCTCCCGGTTCCCTCTCTCCACGCAGCACGCGCCCACGTGACGGCGGCCAGCTCCACCTCCCAGTTCCCGCTCTCCACGCAGCACGCGCCCACGTGACGGCGGCCAGCTTCACCTCCGGGTTCCCGCTCTCCATGCAGCACGTGCCCACTAGCTGGGGACAGCATTCCCTGCGCCCAAACTCATCCGGGCTGAGTCCAGACCCTGTGTGACCAAGGCCAAGTGACTCTGCTCCTTGGAGCCTTGTTCACGTTGTATGCGACAAGAGGATAGTCTTTAGCACTGGCCTCTTAGGTACAGGTGAAAACATAAACTGGGATCTGGAAATAATCTCTCAGAAAACACAGCTTATCCCCGGTCTCCCCACTATTAGCACAACTCCCCAAACCCGCCAGGAACGTGCAGGGATAGAGGGTCAGTCTGCCCGCTGAGTCGCACTGAGTTGATGCAGATCTCAGAAGCCACCCGGCCCAAGCATCCCTTTAATTTGGGGATCCCCCTGCAGGAGCCACAGAGTCTACACCTTCAGGGCCCAGGCGGGCAGTATCGTGCAGACACGCATAGGACCACGCAGAGAGATAGACAAGGAGAGCCGGAAAGTGCCTGCTCTGCCCAAGGGACTTGAGGTTCAGCAAGTGTCGAACCCCATGCTGGTGCGCACGCATGCTCGAGCGGACGAATGCATGAGAAGAAAATACACACACCGCAGAACCGTGCAGGCTGAGGGCCTTGAGCTTGCAGCGAGCTCCACAGGCCCGTAATGCGCTATTGCTCCACGCCGTCCCTGGTCAGCACAACTGTAGGTTAGGGTGGGAATGCTCCTGGGGGTCAGGAGTGCGATTCAGACTCTCCCTCTGTCACCCAGGAGGTGAGGACTAGGGGGAGACACCTACTGTGTGGGAGGCTGACTCTGTCACCTGTGGGCGGGAGCTTGCACCTGCCCCTTTCCTGATTACCTTGAGGGACACAGTGATGCCAGCTCTCCCACCCGCCACCTGACAGTGTCTGCTCCTGCCCGCAGGCGGTGCGTTCCCGGATCTGAGCCGCAGTCTGGTGCACCCACACCCCTCAGCCCCACACCGACCCACAGCCATGCTCACCTTTCTCAATCTCGCGGCCCCCGTGCCAGAGCGGATGGCATCCATCAAGGCTTGCCTGGCGTCCGCCGGGTCGCCGAGGGTGCCCGAGCTGAGCCTGGAAGCCGTCCTTGATGTGGAGAGAGCCTGGGAGGCCGGAGGGGGTGGGGGCGGCACGGCCGGTGGGGGCGGAAGGCCAAGGTCTTGCTGCTGAGGACCTTCCGAGCCCCGTGCAGACGGCATGGCATCTCGGATACTCCGGAGCTCCTCAGAGGCGAAGGATGACACCTGGCAATGAGAGGATTAAATGACTGCTACAGCGTGAACACTCGCATCCCCTAAAACCCCCACGTGAAACCCTCACGCCCAAGGTAATGGCAGTAGGAGAGGGCTTCGGCAGGTGATTAGGTCCTGAGGGTGGAGCCCTCGTGAATGGGATTAGTGCCCTTATATACATGCTGGAAACTCAGACTTGTGGGGGGAGGGGGGCAAAGGGCATTTATTGAAACCTTAAAATCCGTACCCCCATAATATGCCGAAATAAAAAAAAAGCAAAAAAAAAAAAAAGGCCCCAGAGAGCTCCCTCATTCCTTCCACCATGTCAGGAGGGCACAGAGAGAAGGTGCCGTCCATGAACTGGACAGTAGGCTTTCATGAGACACCAAACCTGCCGGTGCCTTGATTGTGGGCTTCCAGCCTCCAGAACAGTTAAGAATAAATCTATGTTCTTTGTAAGCACCCAGTCTATAGGATTCTGTCATAGCAGCCCAAATGATAAGATGGTGACAATGTTCCCAAAGGCCCTCTGCGAGGGCAGCACACGGCTGGTCGTCTCGCCCTTGGACACGACACAGTTCTCTTGCAGCGAGCCCGGGAAGCTGGTCTGCTCCGTGGCTGAGCGATCTGCCCTGCAGTCTGTCGGCAGCCAAGCCGCTGATCACGGGGACCAGAATCTGGCAGCCCCACCTTACTGGGAAATTCTCTGATCCTCTCTGATCTTGCAACTTTTCTTGGCATGTGAGGATAAAAATAGAGGCTAGACATGCAAATCTGACCAACTGTTGAGGAGCGTACAAGCCATGTTCCTCAACTTCTGTGCATGGAAGCCAGAGATGGCACCATCCTGCCTCCAAACTCAGGCCACGTTGGCCCCTGGGGCTGAGCGGAGGCAGGGACCTCCCCAGGCTCCTGGGGCGGTGCAGAGGCAGGGACCGCACCCACGCAGCAACTTTACTCCAGGAAGGGCTTAGTGGCTTGCGCTTAGTGTCGCAAGGGCTTAGTGTCGCCCACTACCTGCGCTACCTGAGCCTGGAAGCGGTGCTGGTGTCTGAGGGCATCTGGAGGAGCAGCCAGCTCTAGGTCAGGACGGAATGATGCCGTCAGCACAGCACGGGGGAGGCACTGGCACTCTCACGTCTGCTCTGCGGGGGCTGCCCCAGCCTCTTGGAGCGGGCGGGGTGCCTGCTCCGCACCGCCCGCGTTCAGGCCGGCTGGACGGCCACTCTGAAGACAGCTCGTCACGCACTCAGAGTAGCAGAGCCACCACCAGGACCCTGGGGAGAGGGGCTGGACTGGCCTGCTGCCGCGAGGGCCTCCCCTCTTACCTTCTTCAGGCTGCCGGCCCCGCCGTGGCCGCGGATGCCCGCGAGCAGTGCGGACCGCTCACTCTCGGCCTCTGTGCAGGGCGGTCTTTTCGGCCCTCCCTCCAAGGCGTGGTCTGCAGTCTAGAACATTAATAGTGTCAAAACATTTCACTCGGAAGACGGAGAAATGCTAACTGTAGGCAGCTCAGAAGAAAAGCAGCTCGTGTCAGTCGAGGCCTATACGATAACTTCACAGTCCCTGCCCGTCAGAGGTGCGTGTGAGACTTGAAGGCACGCGTGGGCTGGTGTCAAACGACTGCCTCTTGGTGTCGGATCTTTCCTATTATGCGTCTTCGCTATCCAGGGCTGACATGTGCATTTAAATCTTGTAGACCTGGATGAGAATCTGGGGTCCCCATTAAGTAGTTTGTGACCTTGGACACGGCCGCTTAGTCTCCTATGCCTCAGTTTCCCTACCTGCAAAATGGAAGATCTGCTCATTGTCAGCATTGGGGTAGCAATTTAAATGAGATAATGTTTTCGATGTGTTAAACGGGCAAGGAGTGTCATAAAATTGTTCTCGTGTTGCTGAAGAATGACAGGATACTGCTGCCACGAACACTCACACCTAGGGAAGGAGTGGCCCTGCCTGCATTTTTCACTTGCCCACCCATGGCCCTGGGGCCAGTGCACGGGCGGTCTCACCCCTCGCCTCTACTCCTCTGGCCCAGGGGATGGGCGTTATCGCTGACATCTTTCCCACAGGGCTGTCAGGGGCCTGAGTTCAGTGCGGATACGCTTAAAACCCATCAAGTTTTGTCTCTGTAGTGATTCTAGTCAAAGATTCTGGGGGAGTGAGACAGAAGTTCTAGCTGAAGTGAGACCTGTGTTAGACCTGTTGTCCCCGTCCTGTCTCTCCCCCAAGCCTGTTGTGAGAGTCTGAGGCCAGAGCACCTGCGTGGACAGGTGTGGAAGTCTGACCAGACCCCTGTAACCGGGCCTGGCGGCGCCAACTCACCTTGCGGAGCTTGTCCTTCCCTCCCGCGGAGTGGATGGCTTCCATCAGGGCGCTATGCAGGGACGTGTCCTTTGGGACTGGCCTCTGGACAACAGGTCTGAATTTTTTCTTTGGCCCAAAAATGCTGGATGGCAAAGTGCTATCTGTTTCATGTTCGTCTGTAGAGGACACACTGGGCTTTTCCCCTGTCTCCAAGATAACTCGGCCGCTCGAGCCGGACCCTCCCGGAGCGTGCGGAGGCTTGCCGCCGGCCGGGGCCCACGCGGAGCCGTTCACCAGCGCCGCGGCAGGGCTCCGGGCATCTGCTAAGTGCGGAGGGGGCGGGCCTGTCCTGTCCAGGGTGCAGCTGGGGGCAGATGCCGAGCTGGGCCCCTGGTTCCGTGTGCTGTGCTGCTTTCCACGGAAACCACAGCTTTGTCCCACAGAAACGTGATCCCTCGGGGAAGACTGGACTGGTGGGAAACTGGAGCTTTTGTGGACACCAGCAGGACAGTCCTGAGCAGACAGCTTTCCACACGAGCCGCTGACTTCCCCTCTAGGCCGGGCCCCCACTGCCGAGTCTTCCCCATGGCTGCCGGGGAGGGTGACGCAGGGCGGCTGCGCACCGTCCGTGCGTCCCTGTGTCCCTGAGCACAGGCTGGGGGCCGCGCCGTCTTCCACAGGGAGAGGCTGTCCGGGCGGCGCTGGCGTTGGGGCCTTCCCAGCAGGGCCGTGCTGCCCCGCCGCGCCGCCGGGGGCTCTCGGGGGGCCTATCCTCTTGGCGATGGCGGAGGCCACGTACTGGCTGGACGTCCTTCTGTGAGGCTTGAGAAATGAGGCTTCTGTGGCACGTGCTGCCGGCGCTCTCACGCGACAAGTGACTCCCGCAGGCGGCTGGCTTCTCCCCCCTCCCAGGAGACTCCCGTCCTGTGGGTGGGCGGGCTGAGGCGGGGGCGACGCCGGGCTGGGCTCTGCTCGGAGCCCGCTCTCCGGGCGCTGCGCCCCGGCCGGCTCGGCGGCGGCCCTGCTGGCTGGGTGTCTCTCCACAGCGCTGCGTCTCCAGAACGCTTCGACTTTCCCCACGGGCTGAGCTTCTGCTTCCGGAAGGGACGGTGCCAGGGCTCCGGCCCTGCTGCCGCTGGCGTGGGGGCTCACCAGGTTCCCCAGCTCGTCGATCTTGATGGCGCCCGTGGAGAGGGACACGTTCCTGTCGTAGCACCTCATCTCTGACTTTGGGGGGACAATTTTGTACGTTGTGAGGCCGTGCCTAAGGCCGTAACTGCCCCCTGGGTTCTGGCCTCGCTGATGCCATGGTGGCGCCGCGACTGCGTCCCCGTCCCTGCCTTCCTTCTCGTTGGCCTTCTCCCCGGCCCGCGCCTTCTCCCCGTGCGCACAGCCGCGTGTCTCGTCTTTCTCCTTGGCGTGCGGGCCATCTGCATGAAGATTTGAAGCACAAGAAGTCACCCTGGGCGCCGCTGCAACTGAATCCCCGACTTCATGGGTGCTGGATGAGGCCGCCAGGACCCCGCTCCTGACGCCGCGGGCAGGGGCGTGCCGGGCAGGTGCTTCCCCCCTCGTCGTGGGGCGCTGGCCGAGCTCAGCCTGAAGTGGCGCCGGGAAGGCTGTCCTGCCAGCAACGTCCTCCGAGCCAAAAGACCCGGCATTGTTGTTTCTGTTGGAAAACGACGCCGGATCCACAGGATCATCTGAAACTTCCCCGATGAACGTCACTGGGATGGCGTCCACGTCGCTTTTGGGGATGGCGGAATCTGGAGTGCAGCGGCGGGATGTGCCAGGTGCGGAGCTGCTGACAGAGCTGGAGTCCGTGCCGTAGCTCTCTTCCACGTCTGCAAAGAAGGACACACGCAAGTCAGAGCAGCACCGCCTGTGGGGTTCTCACGCCAGCTACTCAGAGTAATGGCGGCCGTGACCTTGATTTCCCTGAGGGTGCCGGAGGAAGTTATTTACATACATTCTAGAATGTCATTTTGGTCTGTAATCTACACAGCATGCCTGGGCCAGATCTCAACTTGCACTGCTCAACACGAGAACTCTGCAGCTCCACGACGTTTCAGGGATTGTACTCAGTGATGACATTTTGCCAACGTCTCCCACTTATGAAACCGATTTCTGGATCCTAGCCTCTGGAAAACTGTCTCCGCACAGGAATGTGAAAGTGAATTTTGGGTTCTGACCTCTGGGATTCTCTTGTCCGCCAGAAGCACGACTAAATCCGCAGCCCCTCTTCTCTAGCTCTGCCCCTGCGGCGGGGGCAGCCAAGTCTGGAGTAGCTCGGAACTGCCGCGGCCCTCCCGGTGCTCGCCGAGACAGCGGCTGTGGTCAGGGCTGGGGGACACAGGATGGCTGAGCCGGATTTCTCAGCTCTGTCAACCGCATATTCTGATGACAGGAAACTGAGAAGCGGTCAGACAAAACTATTGATCAGTTTTGCAGTGTTTCCTTCTCCTTTTTGCTTGGTTTTAAGGCATGGCATATACCTAATTTCTAGTTTATTTTCAATATGTGCCTTAGAGAAAATAACATAGCTCCTTTGACTGAAAGATTTCCTAGTTTACTGAAATTTTTTGCATGTGCTTTTGCTTTATAGTATTATTTCCTTGGACTATATCAACAGCATAGCAGTGCCGTGAGGGGCTCCACTACAAGTGAGTTCCCTGTGGCTACGGCTGTGTATTTCCCATTGAGAGACAGGCTACAGGTTAGCAAGTGGAGTGCGAAGTCTCAACAAAGAAACCTGGTTCTTTCTGTGCCATCCTTTTTTTTTTTTTCTATAATGTGTACGGGGCACTTTTTAATGTGCAAAATTAGTATTATTAGAGCACACTGTCTGCAGCCTTTTGTGTATTTCCAGATAAAAGCCATTGGGAGCTGAGCTCACCTGGGCACTCGGCCTGCGAGTCCAGGCTTTCTACACACTGAGCTGCGTTTCCCTCTGAACACCTTTCCTCCGTGGTCACACACATGCAGTCGCTTTGGCATCTACTATCAGGCAGCACGACATCCAAGCAGTGGATCTGGTGGCTCTTACCTTCTAGGTCTTCGTCCAGTCCTGCCAGGGTTTCATGGAACTGTCCAGTAATGAACAGGTCTTCATCAGCTTTTGAGGTTCTAGCAGTCTTTTCAGTTCTAGGTAAAACCAAAGAGAAAGGAAGAACATTCATTTCTCTTATGTTGTTTTAATGCACTCACTTCCAGAAACATCTAAGGGTGCTATCTTCAAATTCAAGCAGTCACATACTCACCGGAGTACTGCTGTCCTCAGGACTACTGAGACAGAGTGTGTGTGTGTGTGTGTGTGTGTGTGTGTGTGGTGTGCGTGTTGTATGTGGTATGTATGTGCTATATGATGTGTGTGTGGCCCCAAAGTGTTAGTAACACCAAACCACACACAGCTTTCATTTACTCTGAAGATCGAAGTTTTAATTCCACTGCACGAAGACAAGCATATGAGAAAATAGGACTTGCTTGCCTGCCTACATTGCACTACAACAGTCACCTGTACCTGCACCTGGCAAGAAGGAATGAGGCCATGCAGAGTCCAGGCTCACAGGTACGCATGCGGCCAGAGGTTGGTCCACCCCACGCTAGACAGTGCACAGCCAGGCTGCTCCTGAGCACGTGGGAGTTCTCATACAGGCGTGCAGCGTAGCATGGGGGAGTGTCCCCAGGAGTCCTACCAACTTTATAAGCTCAGGCTTCCTTCTCTGCCCACCCTAGCAGTGACCCACCCTGCCAGATTCAGAAAAGGAGAGACATTTCACTCTTCTACAATAAAGGGCTTTTACAGATTCTCCAACATGTCCCTTTTTTATACCCTTACTTTGGCTTAATTCCTTCCTTGGGGAGGTGATGGAGGGGACCGGGCCTTGGGACCTGATCATGCCACCTGCAGAGCTGTGCTCCCTGGGCTCTTTAACTGAGAACATAAAGACAGTGGGATGCTGATGGCAGATGTTACGGCTGCAGTAAGGGCTCCCACCCTTGGCCTGCACACCCGTGCCCACAGCCTCCTCTCAGACCCCACAGGAGGAAGCTCCTAGCAGCAGGGGCTCGCATACCTTCCTGCCAGGCTCTGAACAGAGCTCTTGTGCACACATGATCTTATTATAAGCCTCACAAGCAGTTTATCAGGTAGGTCGTATTGCTATCGCCCTGTACAGAGAAGGAACTGTGCACAGAGAAACTAACAGAGCTGCCTGGATCGCGCCGGCATCTGAACTTAGGTCAGCCGTTCCAAAGCCCAGGAAGGACCTGCCACATCTTGGGTCGAGAGGCACACGTGGCCCTTGAAACACAGGGCACCCAGGAAGATGTCAATCCGCCTGGTCGGAAGAGCCAGATCTTGCCTAATTTGCGTCACAGGAACAATGGCATCTGTGAGACAACTGCTGCCAAAACAATTTGAAAACTGTCTTTGCAAGGGCTCTTGCCTCTATTTTCCTATTATGCAGAAAACACAGAGACATGTCTATGGCAATTGTCTATCTTCAGTGAAAGCTGAAGGCTTGTTTTCCACTGATTGTTAAAATTGAGGACCAATCTTCATCATTGCTAATCAGGCCCAGATAATGATGCATGAAATAAGCTTTGTACAATTCTCACGTAGGAAAGTTTTTATTCTGATAAATGAGTCTTTCTTACTTGGTGACTATGTCCATTTGGGAGCCAGGAAGTGGCTTCTAGATTAGTGTCAGCTAATGTCCTCTGACAAGCCAGACAAAGGGGGCTGGCTGGAGATGTGTGTGCATGTGGACCAATTAATAAGGACCACAAGAGGTGCATGGCTGTCTTCTCTACTGCTTTTGCCATGGACTTTAATTATCTGAATGCACTTTACTAAAGTTGTGTTTTCTCTTTCATGGAATGTGATGGTTTAAATAAATTTAAATTTAAATATTTAATAAAACATATGGCAGAGAAAAAATGGAAACTGCTATATAAAATAATAATTTGAAATGGTAAACAGAGCACTTTTTAAATGCTCTTAGTTTAGGATGCTTAAAGCCCAAAGAAAATTACAAACATACTTTTACTTCAAAGTATTTGCCTTTACTTCAAAGTATGATTATCACACCACTCTATGAGATACTGAACAGAGTATCAGTGAAAATTTAAAAAAATTTAAGATAAAATTTCCAGTGATCCTACCATTTTGTAAATGTTAAACCAACAAAAAAGTAATCACCCCAAGTTGATGAAGAGGAAATGAATTTGTGAATTTGCTACTGGCTTTAACTGCAAAACAGTACATCAAGAAACAAACAAAATTCACTTTATCTTTGTAAGAACTTTGGTCCATTAATCTCTCTTTTAACAATTTGCCTTTAGGAAATAATCCAAAGGAAGGAAAAACATAAACACAACAATGTTCACTGTATTCATGGAAGGACTCTACAATGTCCAGCAGTAGGCAGAGTTACCTAAATTACTGCATATAAATGTCAAAGACAATTAAAATAAGTAAATAAAGTCTATGTCGAAACACAGAACAATGTTTAAGCTAGCGTGTTATGTGAAGAAATCAACACACATACGTAGGGTGATTATGATGATACAGAAATAGCATATGCTTGTGAACAAGGGAGAGACAGAAATCCAAACTAGACAGTGTGATTTATTGAAAATGATGAATCAGGGTGAGTATTTTAACCTTTTTCTTTAGAATTGTGCTTGTTTTAGTATAAAACAGCTTGAATAATAAAGCACAATTTTAATGAGCACAAATTAAAAGAATATTTTTGTCATCTGGTTAGCAAGAATTCTTTTTAGCAAAGGAGCTTGCATTTTTCTCATCCTGTGCACAGTATATGCTTAATGTTGTTGCTGAGTGGCCAGTGCTTCTGGTGCATGACTGTCAGCCTGGTTAACAGAACACAGAGCCCTTCGCCACCTTCCTCCTACCCAGGCTGCGGCCTCAGTTGCCCTGTGAAAGACTGCAGAGCCTAGCTCCCTTCCCTCTGCCCTCCAGCCCAAGCCATCTTTTTGAAGTCTGGGACCCTACCCATGGTCCTACTCCCTCATACCTGTGCTCTCTCCTGTCCCCCAACCTGTGTTCCAGGTTCTGCTGGAACATCCCTTTCCCACTTTTGCCCTGGCTTTGCTACTGGCATTGCATCGTGGGGCTGGCTCCTTGGAGCCCTGCTTGCCCAGGTGGAAAGAGTGGACATGGGCTGGAGCCCCCAGCCTTGGGCACACTGAGGAGTGAGGGAGGGTCAGACCATGGCAGCGCAGGTCCTTGCTTGGCATGGGGCCGCCAAGCCAAGCAGGCATCTCTGAGGGCAGGAGGAGGTAGGACCTGTAAACCACTTCTGCAGTTTGTTCTTCTCCTGATGCAACATGGGGGCTGCTGTGTTCTGTTGTGTTCTGGGTCCTGAATGCCTGCATGAATGGATTATCTAGCAAAAGCCAATGGCAATGTATTGATTTTACTTTCCAACGTAAGCTACCAGTGGGGAGAGGGTTAGTGATATTTGCTTTTTCTTCCTCCCTAGCTTCCACCTGCTTCCCTCCAAAGGGTTGCTAATGGGTTATAGACATTCCTCTCTCTTTGCAAACCCACCAGATTTATACACTTAGTCACTGGGCTGGGAGGACAGCTCCCTGTGGGCTTAGCAGGAGAGCCCTACGTATGTGTCCCAGAAGAGTCAGCCGTGGGTAAGAAGCATCTGCCTACGTAGGCTTAAAGTACACGTGCACAGATGTCTTCCCGCAGGGCTTCGTTCCCCACGTTCCCCAACATATACCCCAATCTTTAGACATGTTTTTTATTGACAACTGACAGTTTGGGCTTAAGACCAAGAAAATAAAAAGTGAACAAACACAGGGCAGACATTGTGATCTCAGGCTGCAGGAAGTGCTTCCTAGGGTCCAGCTCCCTGCCTTGCTGGGGTTGGGGGCCCGCAGGGGAGTGTGCACCCCACTGGGCATGCAGAGTGTGTGGGGCTTCTCCCCAGCTTCTAGCAAAAACAAGAACTGGGAGCAGGCAAGAACTAGGAGCGCCAGAAGAAAATGGCACTTTTTGACTGTTGTTTTTGTTTGCCATGAAAAAGAGAAAAAGGGCTGACTCTGACCATTTAAAATTTACAAGATGAGTTAATCACATATTAGATCATTTTTTTCTTTTTGATAAAGCTATAAGAGTTTCTTTAAGTAATTTGTACAATAGCAGAATCAATGAAAAAAGTCTGGGAGGAAAAAGACGTTGCTGTTAGGTAGCAATTCAATGCTAATAACAACCTAATTGGTTCCTGCAATTTCAAAATGATTACTTGATAAACTAAAACTAGTAGCCTGGGAAAATACGCAGTTGATGACAGTCATATATGCTCAGTCTCCCATTCGATTGTAAATGTTACCATATTAGCAAAGATTCAGAGTTCTAGAATGGTGGTGTCCAATGTAATACAAGGCACACATATAATTTAAAATCTTATAGTCACATTAAACAAGTAAAAAGACAGGGGAGATTAATATAAATTAAATAATTTTATTTAGCTTTAGTTATTTCATATAATTAATATAAAAAGTATTTCTTTTTGTATCAGATTCAGTACATATTATACACTGAAGACACATCTCAGTTTGGACCAGCCACTTGCCAAGTGCTCAGTAGCCAAATATGTAGTGGAAAACGTGGCTCTTCAAGGTCTCACATGTGTCTTCAATGCTCCCCTGTAAACGTAGTTAGAAAGTTTTAGAGTTCTAGGAGTCTAGAACACATAACACATTTCTAAATGTTCTCTCGCAACCACACAGTTCTTATGCAGTCATCTCCTGGTCTCCTGGTATATGAGGGGAGGGAGATGGGGCCTAGGACTCCACACGGATCCAAATCCATGGCAGCTCAAGTTCTCTCTATAAATGATGCAGTAGTTGAACAAAACCTAGACATGTGCTCCCGTAAACAGGCACGCCCTGCATAATGACGTTTCAGCCAACAAGGACAACGTATACGACACTGGTCCTAGAAGAGCAATAGGTGTGTAGTAGGCTACAACTTCTAGATTTGTGGAAGTATACACTGTTTTCACAACAAAATCACCTGACTCACTTCTCAGAATGTATTCCCATTGTTAAGTGAGACATGACTATAATTTAAATCATAGATATCTAATACAATGTAAATG